ATTTATTTATTTAATTCCTTGACCACTAATTTGATTCGATTGAACCTTTTTGACCTTTGATTACTCTTTCAGATCAATACATTACACGAGACATTAATTTGTGACAAAACTACGTAACCAAATTTTCTTTGATTTGAATTTTTTAACTGGTAAGTATGATATACAGAATTGAGCGTGTAATTTGGTGCTTAGCTAAAAAATTTCCAGGCCATCGTGGTCCAATGGTAAATGTTTTCTGGAAATAAAAACCTATTGTGGTTGGCCTGGGGGTGGGGTAAGTCAAGTCTAACTTCAGCTGTAGCATTAGGGTCCGTTTGATTATAAGGATGAGATTTGGGTAGAATGAAAATGAATTTCAGGGAATTGAATTGTCTATAATTCATTTTATTGGGAATTGTCAATTAATTGTGTTTGATTTGTATAAATTTTTCACTTGAAAAATGTTGAAATTTTGGATCTTTTGGTATTCGTTTGTCTTTGTTTTCCAGGGAAATTGTCCATTAAATAAAAAAAAAAATTTTAACAATTGAGGATATAATTTGTTTCCATTGGGGAAAAAAAAAAAAATTGGAAAACCATTTTCCCACCAAAACATTGGGAAAATGAATTCCTCAAATCAAGAATTGGGCATGTGTGGGGGCATAAGGTGAAATTTGAATTGCCAAGAACATTTAGCCAATCAAACATGGAATTTGAATGGAAATGGAAATTCTTTTTCATTTTCCATGAAACTTTTCCTCAATCAAACCGGACCTTAGTGAAATTACAAGGTAACATTCTCGATGCTATGAAAATGATATTGTTCCTTGGATATCACAGCCACCATGGTGGCAGTTCCGCCATCTAAGTTGCTAATTTTTTATTAATTTTCTTTATTATTATTATTATTATTATTATTATTATTATTAACTTTTTCTACGGGATGGTAGTGATGTCGTAGTCGACGTGATTGCATTTGTAAATGTGATATTTGAGTGTGGATGAGAATGGATTAGCATGGGTGAGAGTGGATGTGGTGGGTGGAGCTTGGTAGGAGAAGATGAAATCTGTGTTAATATATAATTTAATAATTTTAACCAGGATTTATTTATTCTTTTGAAAAATTATGTAATTTCATTTGCAATTTTTTGTTGTTTTACTTCTTTCTTCTATTTTTTTGTTTGTTGAAATAATTACTTATATGGCTGAAATGGAGGGAATA